GAAGTTTTAACACAACTTTTATATATGGTGTCCGCATGTGATAAAGTCAAGCTTCATGTTAAGGTATGCATGCCCCGCCTTGCATCAAGTCGATTTGAAGAGCGCGCCACTGCAACACAGATTCAAGTGCTTCTCGCTGCTTACTCTCTTGAGTGAAGGCTTTTTGCCGTTTGCTCTCCCGAACGCAGGCTCTTCGCCACTTGCTCTCCCGAGCAAGGCCTTGTCGCCGTGTGGAGAGCACTCTAACTTGTGCTCACAAGCTGAACCATCAGGCGATCGAACATCTAGAACTCAACTACTCCGTTGAAGCTTCGTAACTCTGCAGAACGCAAAGTCTTGCTAAAGCAGACTCTCTCAGAATAACTTCGAGGCTCCTCCGCAACCAACCAATCACCGCCGAGGACATTCCCAGAAATGACGTCAGCCAAACGTCATCTCAGCAACCTCCAATCAGAAGCTCCAGAATTCCCTCTGGTTACGAGGAAACCCCGTTGCAGCTGCCATCACAAACGCAAGTACAAACAAGGTCTACTATCCGCTGAAATAGGTGCTGAACCATTTAAGCAGTAAACGTAAAACAAACCTCTGCTTTGTGATTCTCTCGGGTTGAATTTAAAACCACTCGTGAAAACGAGTTAGAACTTTGGGAACTCCGTAACTTTCATTCTTCAGAACTATATGCGTGTGTGTATATGTGTATGTCTTAGCTTAGGTCAATGTAATCTAGAATAGACAATAAATTCTTGTTTCATTTATAAAGAATCATTGTCTTGTGTCATGACATTTTAAAGTTAAAACTCTGCTTATATCCTTGTTACCTTGCTCAAAATTTAATAAGATTACCATTTTGTTTATGTGTCGTTGGCCACGAAGTAATATGAACAGAATCGGTAATGTCCACGGACATTAACGTCTCGCTGGACGACCGTTGATAAAGTGTAAACTATCAAATTTTAAATCAGTTATAATCAGGTTGACTCCGAATTTTCAGATTCGAATCCTCTCAAAACCTGAAATAATTAATAATAATTAATTCCCTAAGAAAAGTAATCTGACATTATGTCAATCAACCTTCTCAAACTCGATGGAAATAAAAGTGAGGTTCTCCTCATTGGTTCAAGGGATATACTTAGGGATGGGTACCGAAACGTGGTATTTAATCGGTACCGGGGCTAAATTATGAAAGACCGGAGTATCGATAAGCTCTGACGTTAACGGTTCTGCTATCGGTACTGGAGAAATTAATAAAACACACATACATTTATTATTGCTATGTATACACATTATCTTGCAAATTCGATCTCACCAGAGTCGCCAGCTGTTTTTCAAACATTTGTTTATGATGCATTTTTGCTATTCGCAATTCAGAAGCGAGATCGCGCTCACGCGGAGGAGCTTCAGCACGCACAACATGAAAGCCCTGTTTAATTATGATAGAAGAGAGAACTAAACATTCAAACTTCTGCTTACACTTTAGGCCTGAGGCGGTTTTATTAAGCTAATTTTATTTTTTTATTTCAATTTTGGCTTCTAAGGATTATACAAAAGACAACATGAGGTAAAGCTATTAAAAACTAGCTGCGGTTCGTATTGCGCAACTTCTTTCCCTTCATATTACATTTCATTACTTTTAGATTTCTTTTGTAGGCTATTACAAAATCACTCGGATTGCATATTTTCACCTCTGCAACAGCTACAGACTCCGGCCATCCCTCTCCCAGCACAGTACACAGGTTATTCTCCATGCTCTGGTCACTTCTTGCATAGGCTGCTGCAATGCCCTCCTCCTCATTGGCACCTCAAAGAAAATTTCTGTATCGCCTCCAATCCATCCAGAATTCGGCAGCTTGAATCATTACCCACACCATATTACACCTCTCCTTATCCAGCTCCACTGGCTCCCTGTTTTCCACCGGATCAATTATAAAATGATTCTGTTAACTTTCAAAGCCCTTCATAACCTAGCCCCCCCCCATATCTTTCTGACCTACTTCTTTCTCTGTACTCCGCCTCGAACACATAATTCCTCTAAGACTGCAATTTTAACTGTACCAACATGCAGACTTAGCACTCTGGGGGCCAGGGGCATCATTTATAACCGTTGCGTACGCACAAATCCTGCCCTGAAAAAGGCGTACGCCACTTCCTATGCAAAAGGTGGAATTTATAAAAACAAACTTGATGGGAAAATTTGCGCACCTGCATGCAAACTCTGACCCATGCGTACGAAGACTTTTTCCTGGAGTGAGAAAATTAATGCAAACAATGATTTTAAACTCTGTTTTCATGTCAATATATACATTTACATTAAATATTCCACTCTCATTTATGGAGATAAGCACTGAAATTACATAAAGTCATTATGCAAAAGTTAAACCAAAATCATATGAATTTAGACATATTTGTAATGGATGTGCTTGATCACGTTTCCTCTTTTAATAACAGCTAGGAGTGCTATAGGTGCACAATAATTAATCTTTCAACTAAACTGCAGATCTCATGTAATGAGAAAATATATTTTTTAGAGAGAACAATGATCAATGATGCGCACTTACTTCGATATTATGGCAGACACTGCTGGATTTAGTGGTCGAATGGTCCATTATCCGGATTGAATAGGACCAATGATAATATCTTACTGTACAACCGCAGCTGCACGGAGGTGTTGATGTCATGTGAAGGAATCTCCACAACATTATGAAAAATACCACTGTATTGTAGGATACAACTTGAAGAAAATGGTAAGATTGACATGTTTCCTTTTTAAAATACTTTGTCAGTGACATGCTGAGTCAGACAATTGTATTTAGGCTACACTGCAATAAATATAGGCCAGGGGTGGCAAATGTTGGTCCTGGAGAGCTGCAGCCCTGCAGAGTTTTCTTCACCCCTAATCAAACACACCTGAACAAGCTAATCAAGGTCTGAAGGGTTACTAGGGCTGCGTTCTAGTTCACTTTTAGACACATACTCGCGTACTTCCCTAATCACTTACCCTTGGGGGAATCCCCGCCACCATTTTGAAGTGCGTTCCACTTCGTCAAGTGGACAAGGCAAGTTTACATGGACATACCCTCGATCACTCAAAAACAATTGAAATACTATTTGGCCAGTGTAAAATAATGAGATCAACTCTATTTTAAAATATTTATCTGATAGCCATTTTTAACAGTTTTGTTTTTATAAATATTTTTGATATATTATTCTGAAACATAACAATGATATTTGATGATTTTTAGCAATAAAAATGTATGTATGGCACAAATGGCATTTATAGTCTGTAGGCCAGTGGTTCTGTCCTGGAGTACCCCCTGCCCTGCACATTTTGTATGTCTCCCTCATCTATCACACCTGATTCAACTCATCAGCTCATTAGTGGAAGACTGCAAGACCTGAAGTGGGTGTGTCAGATATAGGGAGACATAGGGGGTACTTCTTGGAGAGGGTGGAGAACCCCTGTCGTAGGCTATCTCATATTTCCCTAATATCTTGTGCCTTTGACGGTGTTAAACATGGTGTCACATGGATGGGAATATGCATGGAAATGATATGCAGATGAGATTATGCATAGTAAAACTAGGCGTTGTAAACTCCATATATGGTGGTTTCTAGGAGGAGTCGGGGTGGAGATGCACGTACGGCACGTCCTGATTCTGCCGAGTTAGACGCGTTCCTGGGTCAACAAGGGAGGGGCTTAAGGTAAAATAGATCAACCAATCAGATTACTCAAGTGACATCTGCCAGCTTGAGCGCCACTTTTTGAGTTGTGCCAGCTCACTTCAGCAGCAGCACGACCCACTCCTGCTTCTGCATAGACTCCAGCCTTCGGAAGTCTGTGTCCTGGTTTGTCTTCGAAGCCTAATGCATATTTTCCACACTGAGCATATTTGCCCTTTGTGCTAGTATCTGCTGGTCTGTCAAATGTGTCAATGATGTTTATGGTGTCCAGTAAATCAACATTGACTGATGCAAGTTGGATATTTGGTTTTTTTGTAGTTTCCTTTTTGATTTTCCATGTTTCTTTTTTGAGTAACGACTTATTTATGTCACTTGAAACATTGAAATCAATGGGGTGTCGCCCTCCCCATAGTCGTTTGGTATAAATTATATCACATTTGTCATCTGCAGATATAAGAGAAATTAGTTTATTTGAGTATTTTGACATGATGAAGATACATATTTGTAAAATTGTTAATATAACATGACAGTGGGTTGTTTCAAATCACAGAAATCTATTCACCTACATTATGAGGACATTTTTCGAAAGGACTATCTTTTGATAGTTGAGAATGCTCTTGGGTGAGAACTTTACATTATTTATTTACTGGTTGTTATTACTTATTACACAGCTCTGTTCAGTTGCACCTTCTTGCAGTCTGTTGATTCTCAGTAACAACACCTATTGGGGTTTATGATGCAATAACCAGTTGAATGTACTTTTCATATTACATATTACATGTCCATATAAATGTTTACAATAAAGGAAGTGATTGTGCCCCTTAAAATAGTAGCACTGTGTATGGCATATATGCAATTATCAAAACTTATCTATCTTATATCGTCTATTAATATCGTTTTTCAGAAATCACTGGAGACTCATGATTGTGTGCTTCCCTGG